AATTAATATGTTTTTTCGAGGAACAAAAAATTCCTTAGTATTAATTGTCTTGACTGCAGGCGCTCAAGGTCACAGTCGTGCCCTTTCTGCCGTGACAGCTTGAAGAGAGTTAACTCTTGCGATTTATGGGTTTTTCTTGACGGCAGGGACGTATTGGACATTTCTGCTATAACAAGGGAGAATTCGAAGAGGCTGTTCATGTACATAGATAAGTTACCTCTTGTAGTACCCGAGACTCTCTTTGATGCTTATGATACCCATGTGAGATAAACTTTTAACTCGTTTGCTCAAAAGGTCTTATTTCATTTCTTGATTATGGATCTTTTCTTTTACTCGAGTCTTACTGAGGAGCATGAAATCATCTTTTAAGTTAGTTCGGATGCCATGCTTAGGAAAAATCGAAATCCAGCCTTGATTTATGTTGAGCTGTGGTTTTAAGTTTTAGAGATTATGTATGCTGGGACTTTGTATAGAACTGTATAGGATGGAGTTTACTTATCAAAAAGTTACGATGAAATTTGGAATCGCGACTTCTAAATGCAAAGAAGTCTTATCTTGTTTGGTGTTGCATTTTAGTTTTGTATTTATATTTGCTGTGTGAAATGTGGTTTAAATGCAGCTATATCTTCAAGGACATGTAGAAAATTGAGAGATGATAAGGATTGAAGTGCAATTTTGTAGGTTAGAAAATATCTTCCAGGCTTTGTGATTTTTTCTCCTATTTTAAAGATGACCTCTTTGGTTGATAAAATATCAAATATTGTTATTATTAAGTTAGGTGTTTGTTTGGTAGTTGAAATATTCCTATTATTGCCTTTGAGGGATTGAATAGTGATACTTAGTGACAACTATTGTGATTTGATGGGTTTTTTTAGTAGATGCTCTTATCATAAATAAAGCTGACAAGTGTGTGATCTAAGTTCCAACTGTAAAAACCCGGTGCTTGTGAGTGTGATCTAATCGTAAAAAGTGCTTGTGAGTGTGATTTAACCGTAAAAAACACGACTGAGTTTGAAAACCCGGTGCTTGGAAGTGTGATCTAATCGTAAAAAGTGCTTGTGAGTGATTTAACCGTAAAAAACACGACTGAGTTTGATATCAAACTGTAAAAAATTGGTGACTAAGAGTAATTTTGTCCACTGGAAGAGTGCATATTTGCGTCAGATAATTGTGCGATCGATGCTTGAATTTCTTAGGCTAAAATTATTCGCGTCTCGAATATAAATTCCCCTAGCTACAAAACTATCAGCGGTTGCGCTTAATTCATGCATTAAATTGACAAGCCGTAAATCCTTGCCTCAACCGATTCTTGAATTATCCCTTCCGAAAACGAGAGTAGTTGCCCAATTGAAAGCCACATAGAATCTATTCCTCCAGCTAATGACCCTCGTCAGGTAAGCCGATCGCCATACGAGCCAGCTCACGAAACCGGCCATGGACAAGCCCTTCTCGTCCTGCCCAGAAAAAAATTCAGCCAATCGGAAAAAAATAAAAATGAAAAACACGATTTTTATTTGATTTTAAAAAAATAGGAGATTATATATAAGATACAATTTCAAGCAATTATATTTGAAATAATAATGTTTAAGGTGAATCTTAATTATTGTTGCAAATGACCGTTGAGTTTTTACCTTGGACTGACGTAAGTCGACCAATGCCTTGTAACGCCCCACGGATGCCATGCTCCCGAGATGCTTGTACACAAACGGGTCCCCGAGAGGCACTTCTTTTGCCGAGAAAGCCTTGCCAGCTTCTTGTTTCGCTATTCGGTTGAATAATTCAACTAGAAATTTCCCTTGCCGTTCGGCCACCTGATCATGAAGCATAGAATTCGGTTGCGGGGGGAAAAAAAATGAAAACAGAATTAGAGAAAAAAGAAACAAGATAAATATAGCATTCGTGTTTCATACCTGAGCTAGAGCAGGAAGCACGGGCTTCCCGACCTGTTCGAGAAAACCGGCACAGTCTCCAAGGGCAAAAACGTCTTCTGCAGCCGGTACTCGTAGCCACTCATCAACACCAATCCTTTCACGGATATATCGTTTTATTTTCAGAAAATTTCAAATATACATCACGAATAGTGTTGTTAAGTTAAACGGCATGGCTCAGCTCGGCTCGAGCTCAGCTCATTAACGCTCGAGCTCTAGGCCTTAACGAGCCGAGCTTAAGCTCATTTAAAGCTCGTTTGGTAATAAGGTTCGAAAAAAGAATTTTTATATAATTCAACAACTCAGTAAAGCTCGAGATCAGCTCGTTAAGGCTTGAACTCGACTCGTTAATAGTGATAAACGAGATGAGCTCGAGCTTGATTACTGGCTCATTTATTTAACGAGCCTAGCTCGGCCCGGCTCGTTTACAGGCCTAATCATGAACAAGGAAAAAGATATATACCTTCCACCGGGAGACTTGGGAAGATCGAGCGATTTCACAAATTCGGAAGGTCCCACACCAGTGGACCAGACGAGCAGACCATAAGGGACATCACTTCCATCGCTAAGGACAATCTTGTCCGAATGGACTTCTTTAACGACACCACGAACAAGTCGAACACCATACTGATTTCAAAATCAGTTGGAATAGCTATTATTAATACGGAAAAATACTTCTTTCTAATTGATAATAATGAATGAAGAACTATGGAGGAAAAAAAAAAAAAAAAACTATGGAGGAATAGTTTCTGAGTTCCTAGTTACCTTTGTCAAGTGCTTTGTAGCATATTGCCTTAGCCCAACATCGAAAGATGATAATATCTCGTTCGCCTGATAAAAAAGGGACCGGTTTATAAGATGATAATAATATCTCGTTTTGCCTTAAGCCCACGAATATGTATTTTTCCGGTCATATATACCTCGATGAGGGTTACGCGTATGTAGTTCTTGACGTGAGCATAACGCTGGCGAACATCTCTCGTGATAAAATCGCTCAATTCGCCGCTAAATTCAACTCCGGTGGGCCCACCACCTATTACGACACAGTGCAGCAAACGTTCTTTTTCTTCTTCCGAGATGCCTGTAATAAAAAATTCCGTTTATTGAAAAGTAAATGACCAAAACTATTCGAACAAAGTTAACTCCACATGATCCTTTTGTTTTCAATAGCATCACAAAGTTATTTACTGCATAAACACAACTTCTACAGTAAGTTTATCAACAAAGCAAATTGAAGTTCGAACATCACACATTTTTTTCGTTTTGCTGTGTCACACACAAAAAATAAACAAAGAAAGAAGATAAAACTTACCTGGGTTTTGAGAGAGCATGAGGTTTAAGAGAAGCCTCTTCCTAATCTCTTGAGCATGAGACACCTCACGAAGGAAAAATGCATGCTCTTTAACTCCCTTTATGCCGAAGGTCAATGGCTCAGATCCAGAAGCAATGACGAGCTTGTCATATGCAACTTTAAAACGATACGGCTCTTCAGAGTGTTTGCCATCAATAACCGTCTCACAGTACACCTGATTTTTTCACGAGACAATTATTAACATTTTCAAACACCACAATTTCTGAACCGGGTGAGATAAACAAAATGAAAATGTGAAGTGCATGATTACAAATACTTTCTTTTAAGTATATAGACTCGGTATACATACTACTCCACGAACTATGCATATTCGCCATGTCTTATTACAAGACTCAAAGATTTTCTGAGCTTAGCAAAAACTTAATGCTTTTGGAAGAAGTCAATAAGCCAAGAATTCACACACATGAAAGCTACGCAGCAAAAACACACACACATGAAAGCTACTTAGCAAAAATTCACACACATGAAAGCTACTAAGCAAATACTTAGCAAAAATTCACACACATGAAAGCTACTAAGCAAAAACTTGCAAAATCACACACACATGAAAGCTACTTGGCAAAAACACCTAATTAGCAAAAATTTAGCCAAGATACACACACATGAAAGCTACTTAGCAAAAACTTAGCAAAGACACACACACGCATGAAAGCTACTTACTTCATGTTTGTCCTTGTCGAGCCCTGTGCAAGAAGCCAAGAAAAAATACGAATTTGGGTCCTTAGCCAATGCCACCTGTATCTGGCTCACGGGCTCAGCCACTGAACGGAACTCTAAGGTCCCGACACAAGTCGAGGCCAGCAGAGGAGTGAACACCATATGATTCCTGGGCGAGATGCAGACAACATCGTACAACCTAGTATCGATCCCTTTAAGGAACCTGCACGCGGCCCACCCGCTCCCGAGCACCACCACACGAGGCTTCTCTCCCGGTTTAGTGGCCTCTAGCGTCGGGTACTTAGTTGGCGGGCCCTCGCACTCTGAGTCGGGCTCCAGTGGGACCCGCTCGGCCTGACCAAATCGGGCTAGTGGGGTTGTTTTGATTCCCCTGCTCCAAAAGCTGGTGCTGGGGATGAACGTGGAGCTGCCACCTGCCATGCTGGTTTGAGGAAGGGATTTCGAGATGTTAGCTGTGATATGAGGTGGAAATTTGGGTGCTGCTGGACCTTCGCACAGGAGATCCTTTTCGGTGGAGTAGTTGGGCCGGGAGGAACCTCCACTCGATCGACGGTAACTGTTTCTTGCTATTCTTGCTAGTGCCATCTCTTTGAGACTGTTGAATCAATCGTTTTTTCTTCTGAAGGTGATATTTAAGTTGAATTTGCTGTTCTTTTCACTGCAATCGGAAATTTTGTAATATAAAGAAATAACCATTATATGACGAGCTAGAAGAACTCATTGTAAAATTCAAATGAGAGGATCCATTTAACAAGAACCATGGTATATGCATTTTTTTGTTGTAAAGTTGCAATCTTTGCTGCTGTAATCGGGGTAAAAAACCGTAAAATTTAAGGTTTTCTCCTAACCCCATTTCAATTTTCATATAGTTTACTTGTGTAAATCAATCAAGAACAGGGGCCGGGGATCATCTAAGAACACATCCCCTTCAAATGGCTTGCAATTTAGCTCTAAACCATAAGAACTTCTAATTCGAAACAGATATGTTTTTCAGAACATCATTTTTTTTGCAAAACGCCACACAAAATATTCGCAAATCAAACATGTAAATTGCCAAAACAATGACAACAAAAACCTAGAAACAAAAAAAAAAAAGCCCAATTCAAATTATTCTTCACAAATTGCAGATCGGCGGCAATTCCAAAGAAACGCAGACCAAATAAAAAAAAAAAAAAGTAGATTTCAAGAAAAAAAACATGAGCGAGAGGAGATATGTACCAGCCTGGTTGTCCGTACGCAAAACCTCATATATGCTTGTTCATATTTTGTTCTGAAGGTGACAGATATAAATAAAATGTGTGCATATATGTATAGGTTAGGGTTTAAGCGGAGGGTTTTAGCAAATATGAACTGGCGACAGTGAGATTACGGTTCACTCTTCCACAATTTTCGGAATGTTTTTACTAGTTAACAATAAATTTTAAAATTGGGAAAAAAAAAATAATAAATTTAATACTATAATAATCATTTTCCGCAGTAAAAAATTAATCAAAGCCTTGTTGCACAAGAAAGAATGTCATCACATATTCACACCGAGATTTAACTTAAGGCCACGGCACAAAAAAAATTTGCTAATTTTTTTCAATCAAATTTAGGTTTATTTTAAAGCACAATATTTTTTAAAAAAATAAATAAATTTCTATATAGAACCAATAATATCATCATAGTACCTAGAAGGTCCAAGTGACAACATAATAATAATATTCAAAAACTCGTGTGTGTTTTTTTTTTTTTTTTTTTTTTTTT